GAAAGAAAGAAAGAAAGAAAGAAAGAAAGAAAGAAAGAAAGAAAGAAAGAAAGAAAGAAAGAAAGAAAGAAAGAAAGAAAGAAAGAAAGAAAGAAATTGCACCTGAAATCCTTTTAGGGAAATACAAATTTCTCCATCCTGATTTTCCTGAATTTCTCTGAATCTCATCTGCATTTTCTTTCCAACTTTTTTTTAAAATTAGCTTATGAAACTTTGCTTTCTCTATCCACAGTGACATTTGTACATATTTCTCACCCATTTCCCTGATGTATACATTTATTTATGCATTTTACCTAATTCAATTCAAATTTTTTCTATTTATTCAAGGGTACGAGTTTTTAAAAATATTATTTTTAAATATTTTAGACATTTGCATTCTGTTTCATGCATATTATTTCTTTGAAACACCCCATAAGCCCCACAAACTAGTGAATTTCTGAGGATAGGTGTTTCTTATTCTGGAAGACAGTCAAGTCGAATAAAATGAGTTTGCTTTTGTAAATCCAGCTTGACTAATAGCCAGAATTCCCACTGGATATGGTTGGGCCATTACTTCTGTTTAGCAGATCCCTCTTGATTATTCATCATAGTTGGAAAAAATTAACTGAAACTAAAAATAAAGAGGGAGTCTGAATCATTAAAAAATCAGAAGAAATGAGGACAAATGTACACAGCTTTGAATTTGATTATCAGGATTCCACTTTTCTTAGAGAACTGCTCAGAAGCCCCCTTTTTGTTTTTGTTCTTCATGTATTATATTTTACTGGACTTCTTGTCCGAAGAAGGGGACTTGTCCACGAAAGCTCCCATTAAAATACAGCAGTTGGTCTTTAAAGTGCCACAACATTTTTGTGTTCTCTATTTTTGTTTTGTTTTGTTTTTTCCTGATATATTTAATCAGTGACTCAGTTTGGCTTTCTGATGATGCCTGATTTTATTATTTGTTTTTATGCTTGATTTTATCCAGATGCCACTTGTTTTGAAAGTTGGGTAGAATATGTATGATGGACATGAAGGAAAGAAGGAAGGAAGGAAACCTCAAATTTTTATTGTTGTCACTATTTAATTTTTTTTATCTCCAAACGATTTGTGTTATCTGCAGGCACTTGATGAGCCTACTAAACCCGAAGCATTGGTGGAGGACAAAACTTTGGATACACATTCAGAGGTGAATTTATTAATCTCACTACAGTGGGGGTCTCTACTTAAGAACTTAATCCGTATTGGAAGGTGGTTCTCAAGTTGAAAAGTTCTTATGTTGAATCTGCATTTCCCATAGGAATGTACTGAAAACCATTTAATCCGTATCTGCTCTTTTCCGTCCATAGAAACTACTGTGGAACCTCTACTTAAGAACTTAATCCGTTTTGGAATGGTGTTCTTAAGTTGAAACTTTCTTAAGTGGAAGCAAAATTTCCCATAGGAATGGACTGAAAACCAATTAATCCGTTCTGGCTGTTTTTTTGTTATGTAGAGGTGCGTTCGTACATTGAAGCATTAGTTCCCATAGGAACTAATGCAGAGCTGGTTAATACGTACTCTACCACTAGGGGGAGAATTTTTTTTTAACCTAAGATGACCTAAGGTTAAAAAAAGAGCAGGAAAGGTTTTTTTTCCTGTTTTTATCTTGGATTTCTGTTATCAAGTAGAAGCAAAATTTAGCAAATGGAGCTGTTCTTAAGTTGGATTGTTCTTAAGTAGAGACGTTCTTAAGTAGCGACCCCACTGTATATTTAAAAGTAACTTCTTTTCTGCTAATGTCAGTATTTGCACTTGCCTTCCACAATGGATACATGTTCAAACACCTGTATAAGCTGTACCAGTCTGTTAGTGAGCATGCCTCTGTGGTGTCAACTTTTATATATGATTGTGAGACAGGTGTGGAAACATCAATGTAGTGATGTGAAATGTGAAATCTAGGTGGCATTATGCTAAGATATCTGTCTAGCGGATAAAGCATCATGTTTTTCTGAAGCTTGTTCTCCACCCATGTTAAACATGCCCAATCACATCCATCCATCCATCCATCCATCCATCCATCCATCCATCCATCCATCCATCCATCCATCCATCCATCCATCCATCCATCCATCCATCCATCCATCCATCCATCCAT